AGTCTCGGAACAATTATTCGTAGGCCATACAAATACTTGTTCCGTGTGGGATTCGAACCCGCGGCCCCAGCGCAACAACTCATTGCTGAGCCACGGCGCTACGGAGCCGTAAATTAGATATTAGTTATAGGGAGGATTTGCTAGTCTTCTCTCTTAGCTCAGAATGGAATAGAATGGAATATTTTTTTAAAATTAAATATAGATTATTACATAATACTTATTGAAAGTAACTTTTTTATTTACCACTGATTCGGAAAATACCTTTGTCCCGGGAAGAATAAACAAGAAACCCAGCGGGACTTTTTTTTCAAATAAACATATTTCACTTTATAATAATTTTGTTTGTACAATTTTTAAATGAATTTTATTAGAATGTACAATTTTTAAATGAATTTTAATAGAACCAGCACGGTGGCGATCACCTAATTTCCAGGGGTTATTTTCATTTATACCTAATAACCCTTTTTGCACAATTTTTCTTTAATTAAACATTTAAACTTGTTTATTGACAAATTTTGTACATTTTCTGGGATTTTGTTGTAAAAACTCAATTCGCCTATTGATGAACGCAATACTAATATTGGGTTGTCTTACATCTAGCATAAACTAGTTATTATATCGCCATCTATCTATTTTATACATGGTGGAGCCACGCTGCATCTATATTATGGTTGTGGTACGTATAGGTTCACGGTAGGACCACGCTCTCATAGAATACCAGCGTATAGCAGCATATAGCAGCTTAACGCTGCTGGGTTTCGTATGGTGAATAGAGAACCGGATACCCTTTTTACAGAATCGAGGCATTCCATCTTAAGTCCTCGGGGTGACAACGCATCTGCATTTTGATTCTTATTCGAGGAAGAATGTAGATGTCTATGGGCCGCAATATCCATTAACCATTAGGTGGACTGTGTGCTCGTTAGTCACCCTTATTCTACAATAAAAATATCTCAGGCCGGAAGGTTTTTCTAGCCGTCCGCCTCTTACGATACCCACGTGACGAAATGAGGTGATGCAATTTCTAACATCGTCGCCACATGGCAAGTCCGCTGGTACGTAGGTGATCAATTCTGTTTGTAACTGGCGAACGTCCAGTGAAGTTCTTAATTATAAAGAAATAAAAATTGGTATCCAAAGCTGAAAGTGATACGGTCGTTAAACATAATGAAATTCTGGTGGACACTTCATAAAATATTGAGTATTCATTCCTTGAAATAATAATAAACAAATTATTATATTTCCAAGTCAAGTCAAAATCTTTATTTACAGAATAAAATGTTCAGGTAATATAGGTATTAGTATTAGTATTAGAATAAGTCTCAATAATATTCAACCGGGAGTTGTACCGGTGTGCAAATATATCTTAAAATATTTCTAGTTCGAATAATCGGAAGTTTGTACTGAACACCAGGTGGTAGGACTGTTTCTCTGTCTAGGATTCGTCAGGGTAGGTATCACCATCACACCTGTATCTTTCGCCAAATAGTAGTGCTTGCACTGTAGTATTCCATCCTGAAGGGTGTAAAGAGCCAGTATAATTTCAGGTTGCGAGGCACTCTAATCTTAGTTCTCAGAGGTAACAACAAATCACTAGCTATATAAAAAGTATTTACGTGGTAGAGCCATGCTGCAGGTATGTTACTGGTATAGTTGTAGCACGAATGGGTCGGCTCGACCGGGGAAGGACCACGCTCTCACAGAACTTTTGATTCGTCGTCGAGTATAGATGTAGATGTCTATGGGACACAGCAACCACTTACCATCAGGTGGACTGTGTGCTCGTTTGTCACCCATATCCTATAAAAAAAACAGCTTTCAATTTAGTTGTCGGTGTCTGTGGAATGTAGCAGCCGTTTACCATCGAGTGGACTGTAATTTCATATGTCTCTTCAATTTTATTAAAAAAAAACATGCGTGAGTGTCGTGGAACACACGGTTGGAACGAAGTACCTTTCGTAGTATATTATTATTGATAAACGTATTATATTATTAAGTATCAAATACAAATAAATGTATTGAAGAAGAAGAAAGAAAAAGAAGAAAGAAGAAGAAGAAAGAAGAAGAAGCCAAGGCCGTCTACACTTCGTCAGAAGGGGTCGTGACGGAAAAATCTTACAATTTTTCTCGCCTAGCCCCCATCCGCCCTATTCGTACCGTCCGATAAGGAACTTCGTTCCAAAAAACTTTATTAACCAAGCTCTAGAATATTTTTTATTATATAACGTTAACTATATAATATAAATGTAACATGTATAGGCATTTATTAGTTTAGATAAATTCTATATTTCATCGTAAATATGCGTCAGGCTTACGCAATAATGAAAAGCTCTTTCATTACTTGTACGAGTAATATTCGCATGCGATGCGAAATAAAAAGAGAGGACGTTTATTATATGGATATCGATTAAACGTTGTAATAAAATATGGAGTTTTTAGTTGAGGACTGTGTGTCTTAGTGGTTAGCGAATTATACACTTAATTGAATCGCGCGTTACTTTGTGTAAATCCATTTTTTTTATAGGATAGGGTGACAAACGTGCACACAGTCCACCTGATGGTAAGTGGTTACTGTGACCCATAGACATCTACATCTATCCTCAATAAAGACTCAAAATGTAGATGCGTTGTCACCCGTGTGGACTAAGATGGAATGCCTCTTGTCCAGTAAAAAGGGTCTCCGGTTCTCTACACTCACCATACGAAACACAGCAGCGTTAAGCTGCTATTTTACGCTGGTATTCTGTGAGAGCGTGGTCCTTCCCCGGTCGAGCCGACCCATTCGTGCTACAACTATACTACTAATATAGCTGCAGCATGGCTCTACCACGTGGAATTTTTTTTATAAAAATTTATTTATTGGAAATTATGTTAAAGATGTTAAAAATTTATTCCTCCCTCCATTCCTCAATTGCGTAATCGCTAGTTGAGAGTGATGTTCTTCAAGCTAGGTAAGACAACTAACTTAATATTTAAAAAAATTATATACTGTTAATAATTTCTTATGTTTACGCGAATTCTACACCTAGAATGGAATATAATATTTTTTTTTATTCGATTAATAGATTACAAGAGTACTTATTTCTACGGATTCCGAAAAATACCTCTGTTCTGGGAAGAACCAGCAAGAAACCCAGTGGGACTTTTTAAAAATAAATAATTTACAATGTAATATTTTATACAATTGTTATGAAAACGTTTAGAAACAGCACGGTAGCGATCACCTCATTCCCAGGGGTTATTATCAATCGTGTTTTGATAGATACCTAAGGCTTGCATATTTTCTGGGACTTTGTTATAAAAGCGTATAATACATGTCCGACAAACGATATTATCGAGCGGGTCTCACAGATCACAGTGTACTGAAACTCGAAATGATCCATTTGAACGATCTACCCGAATTACCCGGTTCGTAAGACGAATCAATACTTGAATGATAGGGCATTAGAAATGAATGACACATGTCTACTTAGCAGGTGGCTTCACGTCGCCGGTCTGGGTATTTTACGCCTGGCGTTAACGAAATGGTTATACCGCCGTCTATCGAAAGTCAGTAAGGTAAATTTTAACGTATCTCATAGTCGCCTCCTACGAGACTCATGCGATGAAATGGGTTGATAAAATTCTCTTACGCCATCAACGTCAATATACCGCAAGTACTTGCCATTATCTCGTACATCTATTGTAAATAACTATATTGGTGTAAAATATAATTTACAATATAAATTATTATTGTTAATTACAAAAAGAATACTCCCAACGGGTTTCTATTTGGTTTTATTTATAGGATAGGGTGACAAACGAACACAGAGTCCACCTGATGGTATGCGGTTGCTGTGGCCCATAGACATCTACATCTATCCTCGTTTGCGAATCAAAATGCTGATGCGTTGTCAGCCGTGAGGACTAAGAATGGAATGGAATGGAATGTCTCTATACGAAACACAGCAGTGTTAAGCTGCCAATTTACGCTGGTATTCTGTGAGAGCTTAGTCCTTCCCCGGTCGAGCCGACCCATTCGTGCTACAACTATACTACTAATAGCTGCATCATGGCTCTACCACGTATGGTTATTCTTAGGCCAGAGGTATTATTCGAACTTATGATAAAATAGAAAAGTAAATAATTTATATTCTATAGATACATATAAATAAAATGTATCTGTCTGTAATATCGAAATAACAGCCTTATATTGTACTGAGGGGGTTATTTGCATACAATTATGATATGAATAAATTTTTGCTTGTCTAACCGGGCTAATCTTCGGAATGGCTGAACCGATTGTAATGAAATTTTACAAACAAATAGAGAGCAATGCCAGGAGTGATTTAGGTTATATTTTATTCTAAAAACTTTCATAATATATACAAATAAATAAAATTGAAGTGTCTGTTTGTAATATTAAAATTACAGCTTTTTACGAAATATATGAAATTATATACGGTACTAATAACAAAAATACAATTTTTAAAATTTTTGTCTGTCTGTCCGTCGGTCTGTCTGTTTGTTCCGGCTAATCTCCGAAACGGCTGGACCGATTTTGACGGGATTTTCACTGGCAGATAGCTGATGTCACAAGGAGTAACTTAGGCTTTTATTTAAGAAAAAGAATTAGGGTTACGCGCAAAAAAATTAAAACCCCAAATAACACGCGGGCGGAATCGCGGGGAATAGCTAGTTTTTAGAATAAAAATATAAAAAACAGAATAGAATAAAATAGAAAAAACGAAACATTGATATGTTTCATTATTTTTTAGAAAAAAAAAAAACGAAACATTGATAAAATAAATCAATGGTCTTTGATTATCCTAAATCTAAAAAAACGCAACGTTAGGTTATTAATAGATCCTACCTAGGCGAAGTCATGGTGGGCCGCTACTCTACAATATTTTTTTCTTGCCCGTATTCGTTTAGAAGGCTTTCGCTCCTTTTTATCACCTAATAATATTACCTTAGTTTTAGTAGACCACAAATCAGTATCTTTTTGTTACCATTGGCAGGGTCATCATCAGATGAGGAGGAGGGTGTTCAACCCCACGAGAAAGCGATAGCAAGCGGGCAAGCCAATCCGCCCTACTGCGTGCGGAATGTGGAACAGCATGCGTTTGGACGGAGAGAGATAGAGATAGCAGAGCAGGAGATGCCGGGTATCATGGCGCTGCGGGCGCGGGCCAAAGATGACAAACCGCTGAAGGATGCCAAGGTATTAAAATTAGTTTTCAGTTCAGTTTTCCCCCAATTGCCACGAATGGAATAATATCGAACGTCTTGTCCCTTTGTTGTTATTCCTAGTAATATTTCACATCTGTGGCATATATATGTTTATAGCGCCACCTGTGGATATTGTATGAAGCAGGTCACATTTTCCAAAAACGATTTTTGTCGGTTTATCAACTCTAATAAGTATTTGAGTTACCTATGTATGGAATACGTAGTAGAGCCACGCTGCAGCTTTGTTATGGTTGTAGCATGAATGGGACCGGGGTAGGACCACGCTTTCACAGAATAGCAGCTTAACGCAGCAGCGACACACTCACCATACGAAACACAGCAGTGTTTCGTATGGTGAGTGTAGAGAACCGGAGACCCTTTTTACTGGAAATGAGGCATTTCATGTTAGTCCTCAAAGGTGATTACGTATCTGCATTTTGATCCTTAACCAAAGATAGATGTAGATATCTATGGGCCACAGTATCCACTTACCATCAGGTGGCCTGTGTATTCGTTTGTCATCCTTATTGTATAAAAAAAAGATGATTGCTTCCAAACTATTTCTTGTATAATTTTCATAAATACATAATTATGTAACGTAATGCATGATTGTAAATTCTTCTATTTTATAAAAACAATCCTACTGGATTTCCTTCTGGTTCTATCGTTAAGAGGTTAACAGGTATTCTCTTTTAGATACGACCATATAAGATTTGTAGACGCCCATCACACCCAGTCGTTTTCAAGAGTGCCGAAATGGACTTAAGATCAGCTGAGGCGCTATCCGTTCTGATCATGCTCTGCTTCTAGTCGGTTAGTATATGTGGCGCTCAGGTTTTTGGGACTCTGTCTTTCTAGCGGTATCAGGTTCGCCCAATTAGGCGTTTCGCACTCGGTCACCAAGTCCAATGCTGAACATAGACCTCGATTAGGACTAGATTGCCTCATATTTGCCATAGTTGGCACGCTTGGCAAGCGGGTAGACAACTGTAGTTTTTATTTTAATTTTAAGTCGTTATTAGAAAAACGCTGATGGCCATGTCCCGATTTGTTTCTCTCTGTCGCCTCTTACAACACTTACGGGATGTTATGGGGTAGTGGATATTCTTACAACGCTACTGCAAGGTAATTTGCTTACAACAAAATTAAACATCACCAGAATCATTATAAAACGTAATAATTGTTCTGATGCATGTTACAAAATAAAAATAAAATCAACAGCACAATTAAATTTGAACAAAATCTAAACTACTTACAAGTATAACAATCAAGTGCCATAAATATGATGGTACAACAACAAAAAAAAAACTATAGTTTGGGACACTTGAACAGTTCAAATAATTTTCACTTTGATACACACTAATGTTCACAGGCTTATTGATCATAATAGTTTCATCATTATGATTATTGATTATTATTATTAATAGTTATACAAAGTATCCGTAAATATATAAGGTGAATATATAAGTATCTGAGAATAAATAGAGTAACCGTGCAATAAATGCTTTGAATAGAAACTATTTTATTTAATATAGATTATAAAAAAATACTTATTGAAACTCATTCTTTTGTTTAATTTACCGCAGGTTCGGAAAAATACCTCTGTCCTGGGAAGAACTAGCATGAAATCAAGCGGTTTTTTTTTTGAAAAAGAAAAAACAGTTTACAGCGTAGAGTATCCGTGTAATAAATGTTTTATTTCTTCCTTTTTAGATAGTCGGGTGCACGCACATAAACGCCCAGACAGCAGTGCTTATAGAGACGCTAGCGGCGTTAGGCGCTACGGTGCGCTGGGCGGCATGCAATATCTACAGCACTCAGAACGAGGTAGCAGCGGCCCTGGCACATGCTGGTATGTATAGCCAATCCAATGAGGGCTAGTAATCTTCCGTTCACCAGATGTCGCTAGTTGACACCGAGGTAAAGTTTTTGTTACACAATGTCATTTAATTGAGAAGTTGTTTTTTAATAAAAGTTTATCAGTTTCTAGACTATTATATTATATATTAATATACAAAACAATGCCTCAGTGGATTGCTCTTTCATTTATTTGCACACTTTTAACTCTTCTTTTAATTTTTTTAGTTTTTTGAATATCTGTGGTTTGGTTTATTTATTTTTAATCTAAATAATATAAAATATAATTAATAGTACGGAAAGAAACATTAACTTTTACATTTTGCGAACAAATTAACTTCTCCGCTATGAAATCTGTCAAATATTATACCTCATTTTTAAGTGGCGCCGTCCTGGTGGTAGAAAAACTCGTGGCTGCCCTCATTGTGTACTCGTACACTGTCTTAAAAAGTAAAATCAAAAATTTATACGCAGTTGAGTCACCCTACTGCTATATTATGGCTGTACCACGAATGGGTCAGGTAGACCAAGCAAGGACTACGCTGTCACAGAATACCAGCGTAAAATAGCAGCTTAATGCTGCTGTGTTTCGTATGATGAGTGTAGAGAACTGGAGACACTTTTCACTGGTTCAATGAGGCATTCCATCTTAGTCCTCAGAGGACTGTGGATGTCTGTCCACAGCATTCACTTACCAGCATCTGGTCTATGTGCTCATTTGTTGTAATTAATTGTATAAGAAAAAATAGTTTTGGGCTCTGGGCTAGGCAAATAAAAAATAAAGCTATAAATGCGCCGCGCTGCTCTGATGCGTGTTCGCTGACTGCACATGCGACCGTTACAATCCATTAAAGTCCACTGCTGAAGATTAACCGCCCTCATAGATTGCATCATAGCCTCATATTTGCCATAGCTGCCACGCTTGGCAAGCTGGTTGGCACCCGCAGTTTTTTTAGTCGTTATTAGGAAGACGCTGCTGCCCTTTTCCTGATTTGTTTTCCCACTTACGACTCCCCTGGGATGATATGGGGTAGTGGATATTCTTACACCGCCACTACACGGTAGTACACCATACGCCATTTATTTTGCTATCACCTTAGATAATATAATTAAAAGTTTTAAAAAAAATGTACAGCCGACTTCAATATAAATTATTAAGAATAACCCAAAAGCTTTTGGTAAGACCTTAATCAATTTATGGAGCACATCAGTAGCTCCAGCTATCAATAAAAAAAAGGAACATCGAAATCGGTTGAGCCAGAAAAAAGTTATGAGGTAACACACATAAAAAAAACACAGTCGAATTGAACACGTCCTCCTTTTTGAAGTCAGTAGAAAAGAGTTACAAAGGGCGATCTAATTGCCTTTTGCCATTATCTCCCAGTCAACTCCGGGCATAGTGAAATATCCCAGCCGGAGAAGGATAAAAAAAATTAGCAGTAAAATTAAGGAAAAACAACTATAATAATAATTTACCTTATCGCGTATAATATTATCTTATTTTATTTTCCCGACGTTTCGAGCACTATACAGTTCAAATAAACAAGAAAACGTTCCGGGAAGTCTTCAATTTGTGATTACGTGTAGGATCGCCGCCGCTACTATATCAGATATGATTGAACACGAATCCTCGCTAAAGAACATCGATTCCTTCCAAGGATGATTCGCGAGGCCATTAAAATAAATAAAAAATCCTAATTTCAGTATAGAAGATAGCTGGGTGCTACCAACTGCTTGGGTTCCTATAATTAATAAAATTAAATCCCAACCTTCTAGGTACTTCAAGACACTATAAGTTCATACTGCGTAGATGGGACTAAATATTTACATTTAAAATTAAACATTGGTGACATTGGGACGTCGAACGCCCGTCTCCCCGTGACCATGGTGTAAATTCCTCGAAATTTCTTGCATATAAAATAAGTTAATATACACTGTTAAATCCGTAAAAACTGGTTTTATTTAAATGCGTAGTGTTCACTAAATAAATAGATGACACTTCATTTTTGTTATATTCAATATGATTTTGTAACTTTTCAAGGTTTCGCAATATTCGCGTGGCGCGGCGAAAGTGAGGAGGCTTTCTGGTGGTGTATAGACCAGTGTTGTACTCCAACGACGAACTGGCAACCAAATATGATCCTAGATGATGGAGGCGATGCGACGCACCTCATGCTGAAGAAGCACCCGGCTGCCTTCAAGCAGATCAAGGGTAAGAAACCGCAACAATCAGGCTCTGAATGGCTTTAGTGGAATGCTTACTTTGTTTCTGGCTCAGACCCGTCACTTCATCTCGCACTGAGAGTTGATTAAGGGAAATTTAAAACTGAATTTTGTAATATGATAACCGCTCCGTATCGCAGTGGCTTAACTTGAGTTGCCGCGCTGAGGGCCGCGAGTTTGAATCTCACACGGAACAAGTATTTGTATGGCCTACAAATAATTGTTACGGGTCTGAATGTTTGTCCTTGTGCAATTTATGTTAGTTAACTGCTTATACGATGCAGGAGAAAATCCTAGTGTTTTTAAAAAACACTAAAATCATCCAAAAAATACTTTTAAAATAATCAGAGCAACTGCTAAGAAGATTACCTTTGATATCCATTTCTGCAAGTTTGACTATAATACTATCATTGTCAACCTTATTAAATGCTTTAGGTGATAATTATGATACATCTTAGCCGTATTTAACTTTTGTACGTGAGAGGTGACTTAGATCTTGTGGCTACCGATATATTATGTTTAAACTTTTTTGTATTTTTAACATATTAAATAAAACACCAGGTGGTGATAAAAAAAAACAGACCGGCGATAGAAAGCAGGGACTTGGAGATGTCTGGTACTGTGATCACCAATTCACCTGGCGTGGCAATCAATTGGGTTTTTAACTTTTTAGTTTTTGTGTTAAATTAATAGATATTTTTAGGAGCTTAAAGGGATTTTAAGTAGCTGACAGTAACCTCAATAGATTTGGCGACGGAACCGATTCAAATTATTAAAATGTTAATTCCTGTACTTTTGTGGGGAAACATTTACCAGGTTCCCTATCCGCGAAATATATACAATAGTAAAACAATTTAAATGTTCATATATATGATTCATGGGACAGCGTAAGGGTTAATATATAAGTATAATATAAGTAAAATTGAATGTTAGTAAATTTATAGACTTTATACGTCAAACGGCTAGGCATAGGCCTCACAATTCCGAGATTAGAGAATTATGGAGCAATTAGTAAGCCGCGTTGCTCCAATTTGATTTTAATAGGGATTTAATTTTTTAGACATGGAGGTTCTAGCGATGTTTTCTTTTATCGCCGAGGACGTAGTAAATCAGCACTCAATTTCGTTGGGCTGACGGAGATCGAACACAGATTACTTGCGTACTGTGTGTATAGAATTTAATGTAAATATTATATTAAAAATATTTTTTCCTCAGGCATAGTGGAGGAAAGCGTGACCGGTGTCCACCGTCTGTACCAGTTGAGCAAGGCCGGGAAGCTCTGTGTCCCCGCCATGAACGTGAACGACTCCGTCACCAAGACCAAGTTTGACAATTTATACTCGTGCCGGTGAGTTTTTGCATCATTAAACAACAAAAACCACCACATTGATACACACATTGGAACTTAAACATATTGTACGCAAGTTCGTAGGAGATGCACGTATCAGTCTTTGTTCATGTGGTGATGGTATTAGAAAAGCCTTTATCCCATTTTGTGTCGTGGTGGTCCTATGGTAGTGGTGATAGGCCTATGGTACAATCCCAGAAATATGGCTTTGAACTACTGTCGTGAAGCACACAACACAAGCATATTATTAATATTGTTGAGCGCTACGATTAATGCCTGGTACATGGTAACACTAGTTACCACTAGCGCCCTCTAGTATCGAGTAGCAGAACTAGGAGAGTCACGATCCTTCTAGAAATTTCCATGGAAGAACTTTCTAGAACTATCGACACCTAGTCAATCGGGACCGGTATGTACTCGAACATTCTAGATGTTTCTACAGTAGAAGATTCTGGTACTATCTGAGGCTCTATATAAGGCCGGTATAGACCGCGACCGGGGTCAGTGTTGAATTAGCGATAGAAGCGAATACTTCAAAGCGATACAACTACGAACTAAAGTGATCAGTAGTACAATTGTGTTTCGTTATTAGTGTGGTTTTAAGTTGTAATTTGTGTTCTGTAATTAAAGTGTCAATTGTGGTAATTCACTCGGCAATTTTTAATTGTCTCGAACCCCAAGCTCGTAACAATATTAATAGCGTGCTAGTGTATTTCTTTATGTATAGATAATACACAGTCCACATGATGGTAAGTAGCCCATAGATACCTACATCTATCCTCGATTGAGAATCAAAATGTAGACGCGTTGTCATACCTGAGATCTAAAATAGAATGCCTCGTTTCCAGTAAAAAGGGTCTCCGGTTCTCTACACTCACTATACGAAACACAGCAGCATTAAGCCGCTATTTTACGCTGGTATTCGAAAGATAGTGGTCCTACTCCGGCCAAATTGAACCATTTCTACTATAACAATAATATAGCTGTAGCATGGCTACCATGTTGAGCTTTTACAAAAAAAAAACACAAGAAAAGTCTTTAAATGTTGCTATAAATCCCGTCGAAATTACTTTAACTTGCCAGACACACGAGTACTCGTTTATTTGTTTACACGTGAATCATGCATCATCCATACATGTAAAAGCACGTACTCGTTATTTAAAGAAATTTAATTTTCAATTACAAATGTTTCATCATCATCACAGCCCATCGCCAACCCACACAGCTTAACATAGACATCCCTCAAGAAGTGCCACATAGCACGGTCTTGAGTCAATTACATTCATCGACTTGGACCTTTCTCCAGTTTGTTACTTGATCTAAATATTTAAGTAAACATTAAACTACCGAATGGTGTTAGTTTAAGAAAATCTAGTTTTTTTGTCAATGGAACAGGGATCATTCCCTGATATCTTTCAGTTATGTATTGTCAAGCCAATATACAAGAAGGGCGATAAATGTGATATGAATAACTATAGACCGATAACTATTATTCCAATACTATCTAAAATCTATGAAAAAGTCATCTTCAAGCGCATTGATAGCTTTATCAAATCAAATAATATACTGACAGAAGAATAATACGGTTTTCGCAAAGGTCACTCTACTACATTGGCCTGCTACAATCTGGTACATTATGTCACAGAATGTATTAATCAAAAAATACCACTTATTGCTTTATTTTTAGACATGACCAAAGCTTTTGACTTTGTTCCACATAAAAGATTACTGGATAAACTATATAGATATGGTATTAGAGGTAACGCTTATGACTGGTTAGAAAGTTATCTGTATAATAGACAGCAATGTATTGAGATAGCAACCATCGTTGAATCAAGAGAGTATACCTTCCGGTCAAAATATCGCGTTAACCCATGGGGAGTTCCACAGGGCAGTATCTTGGGGCCCCTGTTGTTTTTGATATTTATTAACTACTTACCAAACGCAACTCAACATAAAAATGTTTCATGTTCGCAGACGACACCACAGTGATGAAATAGAAAAATCCAATGTCATTATTAATGAGACTCTACACAACCTAATTAATTGGCTACATGCAAACAATCTCAAAATAAACATACAAAAAACAAAGGCCATCCACTTTACTACTCACAGAGCAAGGTCAATGGATGCGCTAGTCGATTATTGCGGTAATACCATTGAAATTGTTAATGAAGTTAAGTTTCTTGGATTTACTTTAGATAAACACTGTGACTGGAAAGCACATATGACAATCTATGTACGAGAATAAATAAATTTGTATACGCGCTACGACGACTCAGTAATATATCATCCATTGAAACTGCTCTATCGGCCTACCATGGCTATGTGTCATCACTAATAACTTACGGCACTATATTGTGGGGAGGTTCAGTGGATGTAAACCAGGCTTTCATAGCCCAAAATAAATGTATTAGGGCTATTTGCAGAGTACATTTTCTTGAAAGCTGTAAACCCCTTTTCAAAAATCTTGGAATCCTACCGCTACCGTGTCTGTATATAAAACAAAAGTGTATTTTTGTACGACAACACTCATTATTTTGTCACTAGAGGGGAATACAAAAATAAATTTACCAGACATCGAGAAACGATCATGCAACCTAGAATAAGACTTCAACTATACAGACGAAGCTGTTATTGTACGGCTATCAAAATTTATAATAAGCTTCATCCAAGTTTCAAGGCTCTGCCATTACCATTGTTTAAAAAAAATACATTCCTGGCTTTTGATTAGGTGCTTTTATTCAGTCCAGGAATACTTAGATGACAAAGAGATTTTTGAATTTTAATTGTGTTTGTAGCTTTTCTGTGATTATTTTATTTATCAATTGAATAATTTGACATAAAATATTATACAGTGTATAAATGTAATGTAATGTTCTGTCTATGATTCACGTTTATCATTGGTTTTATATTTAGTCTATTAACTTATTTTTAACTCTAAGTAGATTAAAATGTAATTATTTTTAAATTTACATGACAGTTATAACTCAAACATGAGGACATATCACTGTATTATGATCTTTGTACTACCATGTTTAAAGCAAATAAACATTTCTGATTTCTGATATCATCTTCTGATTCATGCGAACGCGTTGTGATGGTGTTTAAAAAAGCCAGTCGTGTTTTCGTATCCGCGATTCGACTACTATATTGGACCATTCTTAGTAATTTTCTTCTTTATCAGCCTTTAAAAGTCTACTGTTGAACTCTCTGAATCATAGAACGTAGTTAGGATTTGCCTTAATCGTCACGCTTGGTCAGCAGCTTGACGATAGCAGTGCCAGACGTCTGGCACCTTTGACGCTGCTCTTCGTAAACTCGCGTCTAACGAAATGGTTTTTTTTTAAATATAGAATTAGGCTGACAAACGAGCACACAGTCCATCTGATGCTAAGTGGTTACTGTGGCCCATAGATATCTACATCTATCCTCGATTACGAATCAAAATGCAGATGCGTTGTCACCCGCGAGGACTAAGATGGAATGCCTCGTTTCAAGTAAAAAAGGGTCTCCGGTTCTCTACACTCACCATACGAAACACAGCAGCGTTATGCTGCTATTTTACGCTGGTATTCTGTAAGAGCGTGGTCGTTCCCCGGTCGAGCCGAACCATTCGTGCTACAACTATACCAGTAATATAGCTGCAACATGGCTCTACCACGTAAAGTCTGAATTTAATGTTTACCGTATATCTATTATCATCGTCACTTCGTTGCTAGCGATACGTTTTGCCAGCAACGCAAATTCAATCGTTCATTGCGGTGAAAATTTTAGAGCAACTAATTTTTAAACTTGGTACTTAATTAGCATCTAAAAGGCCCCTAATTTGGGCTTTTTCTAAAAGCAATTTTGGATTCTATTTTGATTTTCAGAAAACCTGAAATTTTCATCTGCTATGTTCTGAATAACGACTTTATTTTTATTAGGGGCGCCTTGTTATTGCGTATACTTGCAGCACCTAATTAGCACTTAATTCCTTGCTATTAATATTTATCGTATATCTAATAACTTCACTGCGTTGCTAGCGAGACGTCTCGCTAGCAACGCAAATTTCAACAGTTCGTTGCGGTGTAAATTTTAGAGCAACTAATTTTTAAACTTAGCACCTAGTTTTGGGGTTTTTCTAAACAAAAATTCACATACACAACTGTGTTGGTATGCATCAGCCATTCCCGTAGTAGATCATTGCTTAACACAGTGCCAAAATATTACTTTTTACCACCCTTTTGGATTTCTATTCTATTTATATTCTTTTTGTAAAATAGTTTCTTCTGGTCGAATTAAATTCTATCTTTTATAAAGATTTGTTATATTTACGCGAAATCTGTCTATAAAGATTTTATAAGGAGTATTTTAGGGAATTTAGGATAGGATTCACATGGAACGGGCAGGTAGCTGCGTTGGGCCTAGTTTTTGGCTCGATGCTGCAATGGCTGAAACATCTCCGGGGAATCCGTGAACATTCGTTGATTTGGACTAAAGCTTACTTTGGCACAATGGCTAGACCGACGGCTTGACATCGTGATTTTTCGCATCTGCTTTCTTCGAAAATTGTAGTTCTGTCACGTTTGTCAAATGTTAGGACTTTAAAACTTGAACTCGATGGGATGATGATATAATATAAAAAACAGCGTTGTTTTATTAAAATTTATCTTTTTAGTATTCAATTTTTCGACAGAATATAATTAAAGATAGGAAACGGGTTCCTGCTCGAGCCATTATCGAGTTTTAGCGAGACTAACAAACAGCAATTGATTTTTATATATAGATATTAAAAGTGAGAAAAATTGATTGTAGAGAATAATTTGCACTTATCAGGTTTTCTCTCTGCATATCCATTCAGATATTACATAAAAACAATCAGAGAAAGTGCCGGTAAGGAATTTACCAAAATATGAACTATAGTTTTTAAACCAATGGATAAATTCTAGAGTTTTCTAGAGTATTATCAAATAAAAAAACTTTGTGGGCGTTATTGTTTACCGTTACTTTGTAAG